GGGAAGGACCTGGAAAAGTACTTTTGGAAAGTGAGAAGCTGGTAGCCGGACTGGGCCGCAGAAATAACCCGGGGAATAGAAGCCTTGTGGTAGAACCTAATTACATTGCCTGGGATTGCTGAACATCAGTGTCTGAAGCGGAAGTGGATCCCATCCATTTCCCCTGTGGGCAAGGACACAAGAAACCTCTCCAGGGTGGGACAGCATGATAGCTAAAAGCACTGACTCTTCTGCCAGGTAGGACTGGATTCTAGTCCTGGCTGGAACACTTCTTGGCTGTGTGCCCTCAGGCTTGTTGTTTAACCCCTCCAAACCTCAGTTTGTTAGCAGTAATCTAGTTGAAATCGTGGTGCCTACTTCGTAAGGTTGATGTGGTTACTGAGTGAGATGTCACATACAAAGTACTTAGTATATAGTGAGTGGTCAACAAATGATAGCTAGTTGTATCTTAGGCTATTTCATTGTGAAGTAAGCCAGGAGAATACATTGCTATGGGGGAAAGATGGGCTTTGGGCTCAGACTAACCGGGCCGCTCTGAGCTTCACTACCTCCATTTGTGAAAAGGGGATAGATTCATGGCAAAGGTAAAATGAGATGACATATGAGAAGAATATAATACAGTGCCCCATAGAGTAAAAACCAATTCCCTTGTCATTCCATCCTCCTCCTCCTCCTCCTCCTCCTCCTCCTCCTCCACCTCCTCATCACTGCTGAAGCTTTAGAAGCTGCCTAAGCATTTACAGAGTTCCTGCTCTGCAAGGATAGCTCTTCCTGTGGAGAAGGCAGGGCTGGTGTGATTTTCCTCTCTCCCCCATCTTCTCAGTTACCCTGATTTCTGGGTCCCTCTCACCAAGTTGGGGAGGTGGCTTACGCGGTTTACGGGCCCCACACCACAAATGTCCACCCTCACCACCTCTTCTCTGCTCCCTCCAGCCCACCCTCCATGCTACCCAGGGCAAGCTGGGTCTTTTCTCCCCACTAAAAGCTGAGTGAGTTTGGATGCCTTTTCTAAAACATCCTTGCTTGCATTTTTCCTAACAGAGCCTCGTTTTTCCATTTGCAACCCATTTTTCTGTGACTTAGAGGATGTCAGCTGTTCCTTTCACTTCCGGACCCCTCTGGCACTTCATTAAAGTGCTCTTTAGGCCATATCTGAGTTCATTGGCGGGTGGGGAGGGCACAGTAAGTAACAGCTGGGCCCTGTCTGTGCCAGGTCCCAAGTCACTTCCTAGGTGGCTACTCTTTCATGAACTGTTTATGGCCTGAAGCCTTCGGGCTGGGGAAGTGGAAGAGTTGGTGCCTCCAAGGCAAGGGGCGGGGCAAGAGAAAAGTGGAGCCTGCTCCAGCCCTGTGACCCCTGGGCTCCACCGCCACTGTTCATCAGCAAGCATTTACTGTACTTAGAAGCTTTGTGGGGTCAGAGACTTGTCAGAGGCTGGGGGTGTTATAAGAGAGGTCTAGGAAGAACAGACATTTAGAGAGACAGCGGCCTGAGTTGAGGCTAGTTTTCCATCTTCCTTTCCTTTCATCTCTCAAGACCTTCAAGCAGGTGTGAAGCCCTGTGGATGTTTAAGTGAGCATCTCCTTGGGTTTAATGACCAGCAGTCAGAGCGGCCTGCACAGTTTGCAGGGCCCAGGGCTGAGAATGTGCTGGCTGGGGTGAGGAAGTCTGTCTCCCTTTTCAAAGGCTTACCACTGCTCCCCACAGAGGACACTGTAGACACACCCCAGCCCTGACCCTACCTGCACCATGCCTAGGCCCACATCAAAATGACCCTATTGCCATCTCAAGGGTAGCATGACAGGAGGTATGGGGGAGTGAAGGGGTATACAGCGTACAGCCGGGGTACCTGAAAACCCTTCCCATGCAGATGGGAAAGAGGCAGGATCAGGTGATGCTGAGGCTCCAAGTTCCCAATGCCCAATGCACTGTCCCATTAGACTTCATTTACGAAGCACAAATGCAGACATAGGAACTGAAAATGGCAACTGCAGAGAGTTGAGCCCCAAGGACCCAAGGCCCTTGGGGATGCAGGGGCGTTCGGAGCCCAGGATCCATGTGACTGTGATATACGCGGAGAAATTGTCAGGTCAGTTTGAGGCCTGGTGGAGAAAGGGCAGGAGCAGACCCACCAGCCCAGCCACAGGGAGAGTCCCGGTTGCTGGTGCATGAACTCCAGGGGGCCTAGTGCCATGGGGCCAAGGCAGGCAGTTCTCCAGAGAAAGGGGGGCTGGAGGAGGCTGACCCCTGAGATCCTTAGTCTGACAGCATGTGCTGATTGGGAGATGAGTAGTAGTATGTCAGCCTCGCTCCTGCTGTTCTGTTAGGATTTGAGGCTGGGGAGGACTACTTCTAGCCACTGTGCAATTAACTGTAAGATAGAAGCAAGAAGTCATAGGGATATTAAAATTTCAAGATGTTTTTAAAGAGGCTGTAGCTTCTTAGAAAATAGATCCACTTAAATATCATTGAAACTGTGCGTGACCAGTTCGTGTGGACTGAAAGATTAGGACTAGGGGAACAACATCTCGTTGTGTAGCCCAGGCTAGTGTCTCATTCACTGTGCATCTCAAGCTGGCCTCGAGCTCATGATCCTCCTGCCCCATCCTCCCAGGGCTGAGACTGTAGGCATGCACCACCATGCCTGCCTTCTCCTTTAAACTCTAGATAATTACAGTGATGGAAACATGACAATGAGTGCATTGCGAAGGGAGTCTCTGGAGTTGCATCTCAGAAACATGAAGTTGAGGAGGGTTGGCAGTGTGGGTTTGGAAGAAGCCTGGGACGCCAGCAGAGACATCAGAGATGTTGAGAAGGATGACAGTCAGGTGCCTTGAACACAGTGCCAAGGGGACCTTCTGAGAAGCTCACCTGAACTAGGTGAGAGGGTGACCTGGGGCAGAGACTCCAGGTTACATCTGGCAACACTTTCCTGTCTGCCCAGCTGTCACAAGATCCGACAGCCTGAACTGTGCTGGCTCTTCATGGTAACTGCCTGTCACTTCTGTAATACCTTGTGAAGGAACTGACTTTTCTTAATAAAGTTGATGCACTTCTGCACAATGTCATTCTTACTTGGATTTGGGTTTCCATGCGCCATTTTGAAACTAAGTGGTAGTTGATTACTTTTTGGATTCAGTTTCTGTGTATCATTCACAGAAATGTGATAAAGTATCTTTTAAATGTATTTTTATTAGGGCATGTTAATTTTATAAAGTACTTTGATAAGTTTTGATCATATCCATCCCTTGGATAAAATATCTTCTTTTTTTTTTGGTAGTACTGGGGGTTGAACCAATAGCCTTTGCACTGAGTTACATCCCTAGTCCTTTTTTATTTTATGGTCTCACTAAGTTACTGAGTTCCTGGGGCTGGTTTGGAGCTTGGATCCTCTTGCCTCGACTCCTAAGAGTGCTTTGATAACAGGCATGTGCCACCACACCCAACTTTGCTAAGATATCTTATTAGTACATTTGATAAAGACCTACTCATTGCTGACTTTCTTTACCTCCTACTCCTTTTGTGAAGAGGCTGGGCTAAGATAGCAACTATTACCATAACCACTACCACCATTAATTACTAAGGACATACCATACAGTATGTGTACTGATAATGATTAGTTTTTGCAAAAACTTTATGAGATTGCTTAAGAACTTTATAACATGCTATTTTATGGATGAGGAACTCAAAACTCAAGGAAATCATACAGCTAGAATGGAACTAAGCAACCAGGCAACAACAGGGGTGCTGTTGAATAAGAGGAATAGCTTCTGATGTTCTGTAGCACAGTTGATTAAGGATGACGACAATTAATTGTATATTACACAATAGCTAGTTGAGGGATTCTGAATGTTCCCAGCACAAAGAAATGATAAGCATCTGAGATGCCAGTTACCATGATCTGATCATTACACATTGTATATTCATATTAAAATGTCACACAGTACTCCATACATATGGACAGTGATTACATGTCTATTAAAATGTATATTTTAAAATCAATTAAAAAGGAAATAGAATGAAAATATATACTAAGTGGGATGAAAAAAAAAAGAAAGAAAAACAAAATAGCCATGCAGGTACGTGAGCATGTCAAAGTTCTTTCTAGTCTGCTATGCATGCTCTTACTGTCATCTAAATAGGGCTTTCAGGCTTTGTAAACACTATTGCTAAGGAATGTGCTGGTGTTTTTTAAGCACATATCACCATTGCCTTCAGCTTCCCCCACAAGCACAGGCCTTTGGTAACAAGACAGCAGAGGCATCAGCCTATCACTGAACTTGGAGCTTCGACCACTCACAGAGGGGCTGCTTCATGGCTTAGGAGCAGTTGTAGCTCTTTGAGGAAAAGAAGGGGTCTGGGTGGGAAGGCTTCCTGAGAGGCAGCAGAGCACAGTGGAATCTCTTCACTAGGATAATAACTGCCACCGGACAAGACCGAATGGGATGGAACAAAGGGCACAAAGCCCGTGACAGATGCAGGACAGCCACCTGTTGTAAGCTGCAGTTGCCAGAGGACTCCACGTTACTGTCTCCATTCTCCCATACACACACTCTGATGGACACACACACTGCTGCTTCAGATTTTGCATGCAGTCTCTTTCATGCTAGCGTGAGAAACCCTAAATTTATCTTTTAAAAAGTCAATTTATGCATAATTTCCCCTTGCCTCAAGGCTCCCTTATGGAGTTGAGGGCATCCAGGGTTTCAAAGACATGGGGTGTCAAGCATGGCGAATTCAGCCATCCTCTGTCCTGTGTGGTCCCTAGTTTGAGGGATGGGTGGCAGTTGCATTTGCCCATGGATCCTTTGCTCTTTGGCCATGGGATGTCTCATGGTCTTCTCTCGAGGCCTTTACCTTCCAAGGGGACAAAAGCCTTCTTAGACTCAAGGCACAACTAGTGCATGATTGCCTCGAACTCTGCTCTAGCTCGTTGTACGTGGAATAGGGTTGTTACACCTGGAGTCCCCAACTCATGTTCTTTGTTCTCTTTTGGCAGAACCAGCTTCTTACAAAAGGACTATTTTTTGTGGAGGAGAAGATCAAGCTGTGTGAAGGCAAGTACAACATGGGCCTCTATAACTCGGCCTTTGATGTTTGGACAGCTGAGATGCTTCTGTCCAAAAGTGGCAGGCTCCAAGTGAATGAGTCACCCTTTCCATTTCTTCCTCAGCTCAGCTTGGTGTTGGCACTGCAGTTTGAGTTAGCTGCTCCCAGCAGTGCAAATCCGAGCTGTGGTTTGAAAAATGAAGTGGGATTGGGGTGGTTGCTCAGGAGACCTTGTTAAAAGATTTTTAACATCCTGCAGGTCTTCTTTGAAGGGACATGTTAGACCCGGGATCCCGCCATGCCGGTCCCTCTGGTCTGCCTCAGGCTATTTCCCAGTGGCCTTTTCCATGTCATATTTATTGGGATCGTAATAGGCAGGAATCCTTTCCATTTGGGGGACATTAGGATAAGCAGGCACCCACTCAATGGGGCATGAGTTGATAGATAAAGGAATACTTCCTGGTCTAGGCTGAGATTTTTAGAAGCCAATTGATAGGAAGGAATTGATGATCTGGGAGATGGTATGAAAGGCAGCAATCGACTGACCCAAGGGTCACACTCAGCTCTGAGCAATATGGGGCCCAGTCTTAGCTCAACACTTATTTCTTGGGTGACTTTTGGCAATTGCCAATTTCTGTGGGTCTCAGTCTTTGTCATTTTTAAGGTGATAAAATAGGGTGAGGGCTTGTAGGGAGGGCCAGCAAATAGCTGGCACAATACTGTGCCTGGCACTCAAGAGGGACACGTGGTGGGGCCTCCTTTTCCTCTGCTTAATCTAATGACCTCTGTCTGTAGGTCAGACTTACATCCGGAGCCATACTTAATAGTTGTCCTATCATCTCTTTTTTTTCCTTTCTATCTTTGGGAAAGAGACTAGTGTCCAAAAAAGGGGCTGGTAGAAATATAAAGTCAGAAGGAAAATGAAAAATTATGCTGGAGCGTTCCAGTGGTTAGCATACAGTGGGTGCCCCATCCCCAAAACCATTGGAAGGAAATTAACCTCTGCCCATTTGAAATTGTCTAAGCCTATATCCTTTTTTCCCCTTAAATACATGTATCTTTGTGGTTTTTTCCCCCAACCATACAAAGCCCACTAAACCAAGGCCTTTACATTTTTTTTAATTGAGGTAAAAAACCACAATATAAAATGTACCTTTTTAGCCATTTCAGAGTTCAGAAGGGGTGACTGTATTTGCATTGCTGTGTAACAGATCTCTAGAACTTGTTTATCTTGTGAGACTACAACTCCAAACTGACTGAACAGCTCCCCATTTCCCCCTTCACAGCCCCTGACAACCATCATTGACTTTTTGTTTCCACAATTTTGGTTTCTGCAGGTATCTCATAAATGTGGCATCATGTGGTATTTTGTTACTGGCTTATTTTATTCAACGTAATGTCCTCAAAGTTCATACATATTGTAGCCCATGGCAAGATTCCTTTCTGTTTTCTAAGGCTGAATAATGTTCCAGAATATGGATGTGCAGAATATGGATCTGCTTCTATTCATCTGTCAGTGGAAGGACCTTATTTAAAATCACTGGCTTTGGCCAGGAACTTAGTGGTTCTTTTGGGGTTTTTTTTGATACCGGGGATCCAATTCAGGACCCTGTGCTTGCAAGGCAGGTGGCAGAACCACTGAGCCAAACCTCAAGCCCTTTAGTGGTTCTTTTGCATCTTGCATTCAGGCTGGAAGACAGAGGCCCAGTCAAGGGGTGGGAGGACAAATAGCATTGTCCCTGGCCACATTACTTGTATGTCAGTCAAGCCACTGGAAAACCACCTGTAGAAAAAAGATACTGAGTAAACTGAAATAAAGGTATTAAGCTTTCCATTCAAAGGGGAAGCTTGAATATCTCATTCAACTTAGATGCCCTGTGAGTAAAAACTCAAGAAATAAGGGCCAGGGATTTAGCTCAGTGGCAGCGTGCCTGCCTCGAAAGTGCAAGGTCCTGAGTTCGATCCCTGGTACTGTGTCTGTGCCGAGTGTGGCCAGACAGCATGGGCCAGGGTCCTTTCCTAGGGTCTCCTCTGGTCCCAGGGGGCCTTTCTGCACAGTAAATGGGCATGTGGGGACTCTTTAAGGGACTTTCCCATCTTCACCAGGATCACCTCTACTTTTTGATTTTATGTGTTAGAACTCCTAGAAGGATTTCGTTTGGGTAAAAAGATTTGCTTGCTATAAAATAAAGCTTGAAAGTAAACAACATGATCTCTCCAATTGCCAAACAGACTTCACTTTCTTAACACATTTGCTTGTGTCTGAGCGTATTTGTTACACACGTACACCCTTGCCTCATGGCTGTGGAAAGGCCGGGCAGTGAAGTTCATGTCCATTTATCACATCTTGTGAGCAGGAGACATCATGTTACTTTCAGCCATCTTTTCTAGAGCCTTGGTGACCTTGACATTCAGAGAGTTCCTTCGACTTACGTGTATACTTCTGGGATCTAAACTCCCATGGTACACTGGAGGACGGATTTGGTAAGACAGACATCTAGGACCTTCCATCTAGACCATCTTCCTATTTTCAGGCACCAAAGTCTTTGACTCATGGGCTGTTTCCTTTAACTCTTTCTTCCCCAGGGTGACCTGCTTTGTTGGCTGGTGTCAGTCTGATAGTCTTTTTGAAATATTTTCCAAACTCCATTACTGTCTGAAGTTTGCAGCCAGCAGACTGACCCAGCCTCCTGGGAGGTTCTCCATGCAGCCAGGTTGGAGAATTCCCTTGCATTCCAGAGGACCTCTATCCTGATTCTGCAGTATGCATCTCCCTGGCCAGCACCTTCTCTCTGCTGCCCTGCTTTAGGCTGGGACACCTCTGCTTGTCTTTATTGTGGAAGCCTTAAGGTGTAAGATGGGGGCCATCCACAAAGCAGCTAATATAGCCTTTTTTCCTTTAGGGTACATGTGCTGGGGTTCACCTTGATTTAGGACTGGGGTAGCTTAACATTTCAAATGGCCCCTTTGACTCCTGTGCCTCCTCCCTGGAGTGAATGTGCATTGCCTACATGGAAAGAAGGTTGACTTTGACTCAGTCAAACATTTACCACTTACTTGGGAGATGCCTGGTACTCTGCTGGGTGCTGGAGACACAGTGGTGAAAAACTGTCATAGAACATAGGCTCTGGTGGAGCTCATAACCTGGTAGTAGAGACAGATATTAATCAAATCATCACTATACGTAACTATAACCAGGACAAATGTTAGGAACACAATCCATAGTAGGGGTTTTCATCAGTGAGGGAAGATTTTCATGTAGAAGTGAAGTTTGAGCTGTAATGAGGAAGATAAACAGAAATAGGTCACACAAAGAAGGAAGGGTCTGAGCAATTTGGTGAGACTAGCCTGTGCAAAGGCCCTGTGGCCTAGGAAATTGTGGAGTGAGGGGCTGGGATAAAATCTGCCTAGAGCCCAAAGGCTGAATAAACCAAAGAATGAAGACACAGAAGGAGACAGAGTGTCTTGGCTGCGTAGGCCATGTTATGGAAGTTTCTTTACCCAAAGAGGAAAGGAAAATGTTCCTGCCAACTATTAACACCTGTTTTATACTTCTTCATATTTGGATTAAATTGCACCTCCTTCCCATTGCAGGGCTTCGCATCTACAAAATTCACATAGAGTACTTGGCATTTGCCATACATTCATTTGAAGGCTTTAAAATTGATCTATTGACTTACACTGTGCTGGACACCAGAAATGCAGGGGTGAGCAGCACACGCAGGCCCGTGTGTTATACCAAGCTTCCTGGAGGGAACAGAGGAGTAGACAAGCAGTTCTACCAAGTGTGGTTAATGCTCTGCCAGGGAAAGTAGAGTGGCCGTGGGCTTGCATTTCTGCAGTGTATTTCTCCTGACCTGTGAGCCAGTGGTCATTCTGTTGTTCTGTTCTCTCCCTAGACATTGCCTTTATTCTCCATAAAATTAATGGATGGAAGATGCTAGATAAATCTTTCAAGATTTATTCAGTGGAACTGACAGTGTTTTGCCAAGGGCGTCTCTGTGTCTCATCTTGACTGACCCAGTTTCTCTGCCTGGGATGAGCAAAGATAGTGCCCAGTCAGCTCTGATATCTAGGTCATTAAACAGCTGCCACTGAGGGAGCAGGCTCCCTTCTGCCCACGAAGTACACAGTTCCTCTCATAGCTCTGGTGGTGTTGGGTGACCTGTATACTCTAGCCTGAGGGTGGAAGTTGGTCATAGCCAACTTCCTGGTCCTAAGGGCAAGTAGGCACAGAATCAGGAGGCGGGTCCAGTGTTTGCAGGTGACCTCTTCAGAGAACGCTGCCCTCCCAGTTACTGTAAGCAGTGAGTAGAGGTGACAGTTTCCACATCTTCTGTCAGCTGACAGCTCAAACCTAGAATAAGGCCAGTGTATCAGTGACTACAGAAATAAAACTGGAAATGCACATGGTCTCCCCAGAGGAGGTGTACTGAAAGGTGATGGAACCTTGAGAGGTTGGGCCTAGTTTCAGATGGTTAGATCATGGGGGCCATCGCCCTTGGAAGGGATGAAGAGAGGGTGTTATGATACCTGACTCTTGAATCCCTCTGCTGCTTCCGGTCTTGCCGTGTGCAACTTCCGGTCTTCCTCACACACTCCCGCCATTACAATATGATCAACTGCGAAGTTGTTTAGATCTCTCTGTGATTCCTAGTGAGACTGGATATATTTCTGTCCTGACAAGTTCTGGTGGCCTTAGCTGGGGACAAAGACCCTGTAACACCAGGGCTCTGCTTTCTGGCTTTAATGCTCCTGGCCACAAGTTTTGGAGCCCGTGAGACTTCATATTTGAGATGGAGCTGTCTTCTGGCCTCTCCTACGAGTAATGACAAGTTCTTTTCTTTCTTTCCCCCTCCCATCTTCTCGCCCTCATGTAGGTGAAAATCGCATTGAGGTTCTGGCCGAAGTCTGGGACCACTTCTTCACTGAGACTCTCCCCACCCTGCAGGCAATATTTTATCCAGTTCAGGTCAGTCTTGCTGGGGAATGACCTCCTGCCAGCCTCAGCCATCTGCTCCTCTCTTGACCTTTGCAAGCTGGGGCCTCCTGCTGGATAGGGGAGAGCCTGCAGGTGGGGTGCTTGAGTCGGTGAAGTACCATGGAGGTCTTTTGAGGCCTCTGTGGTTCTATATTTAGCATTTAACTTAAAGCAAAGAAGAGAGCCTGCTTAACTAGCAATTTGCAGGCTCTTGTTACCCTCTTGGTTTTGAGTGTGTTTTTATATTCTTGGGGAGTGTGTGTGTGTGTGTGTGTGTTTCCTTTACTGAAGGAGAGAAGATAGAGAGGGAGATTTTCCTTTTTTCTTCTCTTTCTTGTTCCCCCCACTTCTTTCCTTCCCTCTCATTTTTTTTAAAGCACAATTTTTAAGCAGGTTTGCTGTTGTCCTCAAATTGTGGGAAAGGGATAATGCTCCCTGTCCTCCATAAGGAGTCCTAAAGACTAACAGCCACATAATGTAAAGCACTGTGTAAGGAATCCATAGAGTTGGTTCAAGAGTGTGGCGAGCTCCACTTGTTTCCTACAAAATGAGGAGTTTGGAGTGAAAGAAGAGTGATCGATGTTTAGTTCTTGTGCTATGACCTTGACTCATTCTACTACTTATATTGCTTTCCTTCCCCCTTCTACAGAGGCTAATACCACACCTGATTTCTGCCAGGTCAGAATGGCCATCCTTCGGAGAGGGTGGCCCATGGAGATTCCTTTCCAAAATACACATCTCTCTCATGTTCTACTCCTGCTCTTGGGGTTGAGGCTTCACATGTAATCAGACTTTGCTGAAGTGTGGGTATAATATGCAAAATAGGTACAGAGCTATTAGCAATGGTTGGAATTTCCTCATACCACAGGGAAGGGCCCACAGGGACTGTTTGGTTTGAATGGTGTTTTAAAGGAATTTGAAATTGCTTAAAATATATATCCAATATTTAAAACGTGAGAGGCTGTACTTACAGATTGCATTTCCTGTTATAAGTCTGGCCCTGCCATTTCTGGTGAGACAGAACAGATAGAAGCCCCTGGCCTTCAGCCTGCTCCTTTCTTTCATCACATTCTTAGTCCCAGCCTGCATTTATGTGGAAAGTACAGGCCCTATGCCCACAAACTGCCCCCTTTTCTTCAGTAGGCACCTATTTACCAGCAGTAGGTCTTTTCTGAAGAAGACAGACATGGAGTGGAGTTAGAGTTGCCTGGTTTGACAAATAAAAACACAGGATGACAATTGTATATGAATTTCATGTAAACCACAAATATTGCAATGCTTGGGACCTTTTTATACTGAAAAAAAATGATTTGAATTTAACTGGGCATCCTGTTTTATCTGGCAATCCTATAGGAGAGAGTGGGCAGATCTGGGTCTCTTAGGGGCATTTGTGCAGGGAATTCCAAGGTGCTCAGGATGGTTCTAGAATGGGGAGTGTGGGATCTGGGTGGAAATGGCCCCAGTACAGTCAGGGGAGGGCAGGGAGGGGCCTTCTGAGGGATCTAAGGATGGTAATGTTCCGATTCTCTTAAAATTTTATAGGCTCTGACAATAATTGATACTGCCCCATTCAGCCTTCTCTACCTCCAACACTGACTTGACTTTCTCCTGCACTCTAGTTGGTCATGCTGTGATTTGGCTGATCTCTTTCTTTCCCTGTCAACTCCTGAGGGCCTTTGCCTGTGCTGTCCTGGTTTACTCAGTTAGCTGAAACTGGGCAAGGGTGACACAAAGTCAGTTTGTGTGTAGCCCAAATTTAGAAGAGGCGGGGAAGATCTGTGGCAAAAGGACATGCAGAAGTGGCAAAACTGTGCCTCCCCTTACTTTTTTGTTCTCAGCTGACCCAGGTTCACATATTCATGAATTTATGGGACAGAATTTTCTCAGCTTTTATTCTTTCTTTGGGCTTTGTCCAGAGTCAGTGGATGGCACCTTGAACCACGTGGACATGCAGTTTCTTTCTCTCTCTCTCTCTCTCTCTCTCTCTCTCTCTCTTTCATTCTCTCTGTTTCAGTTTCTGTCTTCTCTGTCTGTTTCTCTGTGTTTGTCTCTGTCTTTGTCTCTCGGACAGAGGTTATGAGAATCTAGGTGTGCCTTGGTTATTTTTTACCGCCAGCATAAAGCAAGAATAGAAAAGCCAGTTCTGGATTAGTATGAACCCCCCTCTGATTCACTGTGAACCGAAGAGATGGCAGGGGCTTTGTGACAAGTCACTACCCTGGTTAATGGCCCCAAATGGTCTTCTTTGTGTGTCAGATTGGTCTAGCCTGGCACCCCCCACCCTCCTATAAATGCATTTTCTGCCAGCATCAGAGACCAGATTTGCATGTAAAGAGAGCCTTTGTGCCTCTGGGGACCATGTTTTTGGTGAGACTGATGCTCCTGGGAATCGGAGCCAGTTTTGATGTAAATGGTGGTCCAACACTGTTGAACTGGACCCAGTTCCTTACCTTTCAACACAGGAGGTGCCAGGGATGGATGCCATGTGCCCTTCTGGTCACTTATACATCCAGACCTTTCTCCTGAGTGTGTAAAGTTTAACATTGGGCTTGGAAGCCCCAGTGGCAAACTGCTTTCCTCTTTCCCAGGTAGGTACTATAACCACTCTTGCCTAGCCTGTGCCCAGGTGACCACGGGTATTTCACGTGAGAGGTGGTCTGGGGGATAAATGCGGATGGAAGGCGGCACCAAAAGAACAGAGCAGTTCACAGTGACCTGTCCTTGAGCTGGCCTGGGTTCAGGTCTTCAGTCTGCCACTTACCATCTGGACAGACTCGGGAAGATAACCTCACCTCTCTGAGCCTGTTTCCTTAATGGTGGTGGTGGTGGTGGTGTCCTGCTGCAAAGGCCCTGGTTTTTTTCCTAGCATAGGAAAAACAAGGGTGTAATAATACATCAAAAGCACTTAGTTTAGTATAGGGGATATAGTAAGGGCTTAAAATTATCAATATCAATATTATAATTATTCTTTGCATAGTCAACAGGTATTGGAACCATAGCTGATGAAGACCCAATTGTCTGGATTTATTTTTCATATGCCATGGCTAAGCTGATAGGTTTGGAATGAGTTACTCCGGAGTGTCCACCATAATCACCTTACTTACAAAATCATCCTCTCCATTGGAGACCCTCCGGAGACCCTCTTGGCTCTGGTAGAGGGAGTAGAAATCAATGCAGTCTTTTCAGATGGTAACATGGCAGTGTCTGTAGGACATTTTAAAGACATAGTTTGATCATGCAATTTTACTGTGAAGGACGGGTGAAATGCTGATAAAAGTGCTCGTAGAGACAGGATGGATGTGCTCATGATAGCCTTGTTTGTGGTCACCCCCCAAAGACATCTTAAATGAGGAGATAGCCATTAAAGAGTGTGTTCACACAGTGAAATACGATGCAGCCTTTTAAAAGGACAAAGGGAAGAAGCAACGTGCTGATGAAGAGATACCCAAAATATGCTAAGTTAAAAGCAAATTATACAGCAGTAGGACAGATATGATCTCTGTATTTAAAGGTCAGATATGTAATTTTATAGATGTAGAAACTTTCTAGAAAAATCCAGAGGATGAAAAATAGCCTTTCAGGCCGGGGATTTAGCTTAGTGGTTCCGGTGCCTGCCGTGGAAGCGCAAGGTCCCGAGTTCGATTCCTGGTACCAAAAAAAAAAAGAAAAATACCCTTTCAAGGATGGTTGCCTATATGGAGTGAGAATGAGATTAGAAGAGCACTTCTGCTGTTTATCTTAACTGCATTTCTTAGCTGTTTAAATCTTTGCCTATAGATATCTATTACCTTATGATTTTAAAAATGAAATTTTAAAAAGGCAGAGAGATCAAAATTGTCTCTATCTGGGGTGCTGTGTTGGGGGTTCTGGGAGGCTTCTGGATGCCTGTAGGGAATTCTGGGAAAAGCGGTTCTGTCAGGTGACTGACACTTGTTGCACCATAGTTCCCAGAATTCCCTCTTTTTACCTTGCAGTGTCCTCTTTGCAGCAGGCTGCTGTTCAGGAGCAGTTTCTAGAGGTCTGCCTGTCTCATTCTCCCTTCTCGTTCTCTGTGTCCCATGGTTTAGAGCAAACAGTGCATTGTTCACTGCACAGAAAGGCGGTGAGTAAAACTCAGACAGGTTCTGTCAGCACCCAGCGTCATGCAGGACCAAAGAGGCCTGGGATTGGACAGATAACGGGATTGAGTGTGGGTTCCTTCACACCACCGTCCATCCATCCATCTACCAGTTGTAATCCCACCTGCTCAACTTTTCAGAGATACTGAAAGAGTAAAACCAAGTCGGAGGTGCTGGCGTGTGACTGTGATGCCAGCTCGAAGGAGGCTGAGGCAGAAGTATCAAGAGTTCAAGAGTCTGAGGCCAACCCGGGTGATACCCTGCCTCACCCCACAAAGTAGAAGTGCCTCCTAATTAAGATAACTTAGCAAGAGTACCCAATGCAGTGTTAGCTCCATTTGTAATGATTTAATGTTATACAAAGGAAGCTATAATGATAGGAAATAGATATGAAACTATAAAGTCTGGTTAAAATCTACCATGTATGTGTGAACATCTTCTGCGACAGGCACAGAATGACAAAGCCACAGCGAAAAGTGCCCTGGAAGGGAACAGATACAGTTGTGTGAAAACAGCATTTGTAGCACACACACTGCAGGCCAGGCTCTGTGCCCTGTCGGGGAACAGGCTGTTTGTCAGCAGTGCTCCCTGGGTGACGCCAGCTTGTCTCCATGCAGCTGGTCCCTGCAGCATTGTTCTGTGATCACATCCAGTCTCCCTGGAAGTGGCTGGACAAGTGGGTTGTTGTCCCTCCCAGATCCCAGGGCAATGTTTTTAGGGCCAAAGCTTTTCTGCCCAAAGCCCAGAATGATTTCATCTTGAGACTTCTGGTGCATGACTTGGTCAGAGCCAGGCCCTGTATCAGGTTTGTGAAAACCGGGGTTCCTGGGCCCCTACCCCAGAGTTTCTGCTATAGAATGTTTGGGGTGGAGCCCAAGGACTTTGTATTTCTAGTGGTTCCCTATGTAGTGGTGACGGTGGTGCTGCTGGCCCAGGCTGCTAGTTAGGGTTCCCTGGAGTAACAGAGCCAGCAGTTTGCCTATGCAGCTGTGCAGCCGCTCGGCACAGAGCAGCTTCCGGTCAGTGGTGGGCTGCATGTACCTCGAGGTCCGTGTGATGGTATCACCAGGGACATCCTAGCCACCTTCATCTATGTCAATATGCACCACAAGGACAACTTTGGCTCCACCAGGGATGACCAATTTTTGGTGTGTTCTCTGTGTGTAGGTGTGTGCATGCATGTGTGCTCTCTCACAATACACACACACACACACACACACACACACACACATGTGAAGGACAGCTTGGGAAAATAGCTGTCTTTTTTCTGTCTTGAACCTCTTCAAGAGCTCTAAAACCATATGGTTTTGGTTTGAAACCCAGTTCTATCTTGGGTAAATTCCTGAACCTTTTTACAAGTTTTTGTACCTGGGATGGATTTTCTAACAGTGCCCCTCTCCTCCCTCAGAGGATGGTTGTGCTGCTCTGTTCAGGCTCCTGAAGCAGAATCCCACAGATGAAGTGGCTTATGAGCACAGGGATTCACTTTTCTTGGTTCTGGGGGCTGTGAAGTGCCAGATGAAGGTATAGGCAGGTTCAGCGTCTGGTGAGAACCAGCTTCTTGCTTCCTGCTGGGTCCTTACAGGGTGAAAGGCTGGGGCCTCTTTTATAAAGATACTAATCCCATTCTTAGGGGCTTCACCCTTATGACCTAATCACCTCACATCATACGCTCCAGCTCCACATGCTGTCCCCTTCCAGGGGTTCGGATTTCAACATATGAATTTGACCCAAATATTCAGACCATAGCAGTAATGGTGAGGATTGTTTATTTCTAAAAATGTAAAATCCTCCCTAGCACGCAGAGCTTAATAAATGCCAGGTCTTGTGACTATGTTATTTTCCTCCTCTGTCCCCCATTCCCATGGCTGAGAAGTCTCTTTCTACTTTCCCAATTATTTTCTTCCCAAGTTCCTTATTTTTCTATAAGAATCTAACTTTATGTAAACATCTGAGGTCTGACGTTTCCTTTTGCCTGGTATATGCTGGGTCCTTACATATTTAACATCTGAAGTCCAAGAAGCAGCCTTGATGGGGGAAAGTGGCCTTGAACTTTCCTTTTGTTTCTCCCTCTCCTTCTTCCCTTTCCTCCTACCTAACCACTCAGCACTTGACAGCGTATTTCCAATTATATGTGTCTTGCATTGTCTGTCGGTTATTTAGATAGGTTGAGTCACATCTGATCTTAAACAAAGCTTTAATTCTGGAAGACTGGAATTGGGTCTTCAACTCTGACAGCCCCCAGGGACTTGCAGATGCCTGTACCTGGCTCATCCCGGGTGCTCTGCAAACGTGTGTTGTCCCGGAACGCCATCTGCCTGGTGGCAGATCCAGCAAGCTCTCCCCTCTCGCCTTCTCTGCTCCCCAGGGACAGGAGCTGACCATCCGCCAGATCTCCCTGCTGGGCTTTCGAGACTTGGTCCTGCTAAAGGTGAAGCTGGGTGACGTGCTGCTGTCACAGGCCAAGCTGCCTTCATCCATTGTCCAGATGCTGCTTATCCTGCAGGTGAGGCCCAGGAGCCAGGGAGGGAAGGGAAGAAGGGGACTGCCATGTGGGAGGAGGGGGAAGACACCAGATGCCAGAGCACCTATCTTGGGTGAGTATTCTTGAGCATATTTGCCCATGTTTGTTAGTTCTCACACTATCCTTGGCACCCAGCCGCATCTTTGGCACATAGTAGGTGCTCATTAAATCCTGTCCAGTGAGTGATGGCACTAGCTAGTAAGAGGCTGAGTAGGCCCCATCCCAGGTCCTTGGCTTCCGGTCCCATGATGGTTGACGACCACGCAGAGCTTCCTCTCTTGGCAGACAAGGGCAGTCAGAGAAGCTCCATGGTCATCGCAGATTTCTGGAAAGTCGGGAAAGGAACCAATCTCTCCACTATCTTTCTGTACTATTGTTTTGGCCATTTCAAGCAGAGGTGGAGGTTCAGAGAAATTGACTTACTAGCTCAAGATCGTAATGCATTTGTTCGGAGCTGAACTGCTCAGCTGTCCTTGGCCCTTGCTTTGTTTTTTTCCCTGGTACTGGGAATTGAATCCAGGGCCTTCACCCTGAGCTACATTCGCAGCCCTTTTTTCATTTTTAATTTTGAGACAGTCTTGTTAAGTCCCCTAATTGTTCGGGCTGGGGTCAAAAGCTTGATCCTCCAGCCTCAGCCTCTCCGAGTGCTGGGATTAGGGTGTGCACTACACCCAGCTAGGCCCTTGCCCTTTCTCCTCTGCGCTCAGTCTTTCTGGCACTGCTGCCTCCTTCCTGCAGGCTTCTTGGTCCTTGCAGACCCCGGAGTGCTTCTCAGATGAGACACCGCCGGTTCCTCTCCGGCTTCCTGGGAATAGTCCCCCAGCTGTGACACTGGAGCTGTGATAAGGACAAAGGCAGGTCTCTCCGCAGCCTGGGTCCACGTTCTTGAGCACCAGGGCAGCCTCTGGCCCTGGGTGATCTTCCAGGCGGCACTGGCCTGGCCTGTTCCTGCCACATCCCTCCTCTCCCCAGGCCCTTCCTTGCCACTGTGTGAGGAGGTCCAAGGCTGCCTTCCTCAAAATGACCTAGACCTAGGAAAGGGAAAAGAGCCCCTCCTCAGCCTTCGGCTCTCCCTTTTCCAGCGCGCTTCCAAAGTCTTTCTGAACCAAGTCCTTCCTCCCAAAATATCCCACGGGCTTCTCCTGCTAGAGGCAGAGTGCTTCTGTCTCAGGCTGTTCCAGTGGATCCAGAGTCCTGAGGGCCCAGTGCCTGCTTTCATGGTTTCCCATCACCAAATCAACATTCTCTCTGATATTTGAATGCAAGGCCCCCTTGTCTTCAGTTTGCACTGGGCCATGAACATTTCCTAGCCAGTCTGGTGTCCAGGCCGAGGGCCGTGTGCAGTGCAGCAGCCCCGGTCCTGGGAGCAGTGTCTATGAAAAGTGTGTTCCTCATCCATTTTCCTCTCACGTGGGCTGCTTCTCATTTTTCTGTCATCTCTCCCTGCACTTATGAATTACCGTGGAGGGAATCTTAGTGGAGAACCTAGATAAGAAGTATCAAGGACAGGCCGGGGATTTGGCTCAGTGGTCCTGCCACTTGCCTTGCAAGCGCAAGGTCCCGAGTTCGATCCCCAGTACCAAAAAAAGAAGAAGAAGAAGAGGAAGAAGAAGTATCAAGGATAGAACAAAAAAAAGGAAAAGAAAAAAATCAGTTTCCTGGGCTTTGAGAACCAGTCACGGTAGTTTGTGGCTGAAAGTGTCCTGCTTCTGACGCCTGGTATGGCCCCTGGGGAGCGAGAACAGGCTCGCCTTTTCCTTCTGCCCGGAGAGCTCCCTTCCTGGGGGCCTATGTGTGTGTGTGCTGAGCAGAGCAGCTCATTTGCTTTCCCCTCAGTTTCCCTCTGCTAACTTCTGATGCTTCCGCTCAGCATGAGTAAACGGGAGCAGAGCCGGCTTGGAGAGCTGGCCTGCCCCCGCCACCACTGCCACTCGGTGCCAGGCAGCCCACCGTGAGGCCTCTTCACTGGGTCTCAGGACCACTCATCTTCTCTGCATCTCTTCTTCTTCTGCCCCTTCTGGGTTCCATCCCTCCTCAGCCTCCCTGTTCTCTTCTGCCACCTGATCCCGCCTGCCACCTCCCACACCCATCCCTGGAGATGCAGCTGGGAAGGGCCAGGGAAGAGGCTGTGTCTCTGGGAGCTCCATCTCGCCCAGGGCTCCTGACCTGCAGGGTCACCTCTTCCGGTTCATAGCTTGACCACCTCCTTCCTCCCCCAGCCCCACAATGCCTCAGTGCAGCGGAGCATCTTTACTTAGATGAAAGCACTGCCAGATCTGCTTTGAGAATTTGACATGAGGATCTGGGCACAGCCCCACACAGCCTTGTTTCTTCCCTGCTTGGGCCCCTGTCCCTTGGCAGGTGGTCTCTGCTTCCTTGAAGCTCCAGCAGGGAAACTGAATTCCCAAGGAGCCTGCCATTATCCTCAAAAACATTGATCACTGGCTTCTTTAACCAGGGATCAAACTCAGGACCTCGAGTTTGCCAGGCAGGCGCTGTGCCGCTGAACTACATCCTGACCCCATGCTGGGCTTCTTAACTGGCTCCTCGTCTTGCTACCAGTGGGCCTATTTCTAGAACCCTCTCTCTCTCTTCTGCTCTTCTGAACTCTTCCATACTCTTTCCCTCTTCTCTAGCCTGTTAAGGAGTGGCAGGAAGATGGGCTCGGAGCCAGGTAGCTCCGGTTCCAGTCCAGGGCTTTTGTCATTTACTGGCTGCATTTTGCTGAACAAGTTGTGTTAGTTCTGTCTTCATTTCCCATCCCGAGAAGGGGGAGAATGAAAGCACCCCTCTGCCTGGTCCCTGGGGGCCTCTGTGATGGATCCATGGGCAGGGCTTCTCTGAAGTGCTTGTGCTGGGGGTGGGATTGGTCTTGGGTCCCACATACTCAAAGCGGGGCTGGGACTGTCCCCTCACGCTGCCTTGGAGGAGCCTGACGTGTAGTCGCCATGCAGTGCTCTAATTCTGGTGGCACATGATAGGAGACTGGGCTTTGGGGCTCAGTTTGCTGCATTCTAACCCCGGGAGGCTGCCTGCCCTGTCCGGAGGAGGGCGTCGGGGTGCACTGACTGCTGGCTCCAGTTGTTTTCGCTGACCTGTCTGAATGTTCACTTCCAGAGCGTTCACGAGCCCACGGGCCCGAGTGAGAGCTATTTGCAGCTGGAGGAGCTGGTGAAGCAAGTGGTTTCTCCCTTCCTGGGCATCGGCGGGGACCGTGGCTTCTCCGGCTCCATGCACACACTGGGTAAGGGGCGCTGCCATGGAATTGTCAGGGGCCTCAGGGATGTAGGTACCCAGTCCATCCTGCTGAGCACCCATTGTGTGCTGAGGACTTGGCTTCCAATGTGGGTCGATGAAAACCTGTGCATGTTGATCACGCTCCTTCTGTTCCCTGCTGTGTAGCTGCAGCCTCCCTGCCAGCTGGCTTGGTGATTCCTCCCTGGAGACTAACAGTCACCACCACCACCAGTGGTGACGCCTGTCTGATCCACATCTTTGATCAGTGGTTTTGATCTTTTTCCTGTGCCCGGGACATTAATTTTTCTCTATCTGATACCAGAAACTGTGCTCTATTCCACCCTCCCCCAGGTTCCAACTATGGAAAACCACCCTGGATAGCTTTCCCTGTGAAAGCAGCTCGAGATGTGAGGCTAGTTTGTCTCAGGCCTAGGCAGGAGTTCTCAAAATGCTGCCCTCACCCCCTCTTCTTCCATTGGGACTTCCAAGGCCTCCATTATAAGGAAGAAGTTCCTGAATTGGGGGGTAAATCCCGTTGGGGCGTTCTTTTGGTGCTGTGAAGCTACATCAGCATCAGGCTCTGTCCTAGGTCCCTTGGAGAATCTAGAGATGACCCAGAGTTGTTCCCCTTCTCTCAGTGATACCGCAATATGGACGGTCCGCGTAAAAGTAGCTAGATAATATAGTATAACATATTACGAAATGGCTTTTGGTGAAATCACAGTTTTGGTAGAAACAGGTGTATGATAAGGCTTATCACAAAGGTATTTCTCAGTGACCATCGAAATGTAAGTCTTTAAACATGCAGGGACTTCTTGTCCAGTGCTCTGCCTTCAGCAGCTGGAATGGTGGCTGTGTAGAGTAGGCACTTGAAAAATATTTGTTAGGTGGATGGCAAGGAGCTGCAGAACAGGAAGTAGATCACCTGAAGTTGGAATGTGGTACCCCTCTCACCGTAATGGACTTGTGGCTGAGGTTCAAAGCCAGGGGGACAGGGTCCTGTCCTTCCTGGGTCTCTTGACTGCACACAAAGGCAGGGCCTCTTGCTGGCAGTGTTGCTGGCCCTGGTCACGTTTCTCTGGAGACACCAGCTTAACCACAGCCGCTACAGATGGGAGTGTGCTGGTCCCAGCCCGCTGCCTGCCAAGTTCTCTGCCCACCCTCACTCCTTCACTTACTCACTCCACCCAGGAGCTAAAAGGAGCCAGGGTTGAAACAATACTGAAGGAAACCGCGCCCTGCCTTCCCAGGACTGAGGTGGGTGCCATGTTGCTGCAGTCTCCCTGGAGCCCTCCTTCCTGATGCTGGCTCACCTCACAGAGTTTGGGGAACACTGGGGACCCAGGGGGGTGTCAGGACGCCAGCAGGTTAGCTGCGTCATGGCAGGGACTCCACCATTGGGGCCTAATGGCAGTGTGGGAGAGGAAAAATAATTTTTCTTCAGCCCTCGTAGGTTCTTAGTTGGAAGAGGCCCTGTAGCAGATCAACAAGAGAAAGACAAACAGGAGCTTACTAACAGGTAGGTTCACATAGGCCTGGGAGACACCAAGGGAACACGGAGTTCTCAGCTAGGTGGCCTTGAGTTCCATCTGATAAAGCATCTCCAGCAAAGACCAGTACATTTTTAGACGAGTGACAAGACAAATGAGATTGACTTTGAGCCTCTATTGGCAGCAACTTGTGGGAGGGCAAATAACTCACAGATAATGTTTGTTAGTGGAGACCCTGGAGCCATCTCCAGGTGATGAGGGGTAAAAGTTGTCCACAGTCGTTTAACCTTTGTTCTCCGGGGAGAAGAGGGTCAGGATACCTCTGGTCTCTGTGAATCTATACGCTGCTTTTAAGCAGGTGTCAGGGGTGGGAGCACCCGTTCCTGCTTCTTCTTAATTGCTGTCATCTGAACAGTACTTCGTATCTGCAGATACACACAAGGAACAAGAGTAGATTTGGGAGTTTGTTTGAGAGGACTCACTCTAAAAGGGGATACCTCTGGCTTCCCAATTAAAATAATATACTTTTTTTGCGAAATTATGAGGCAAAGGCCTGAGCCTTTATTCTTGTACCAAGGCCTCTGGAGGGTTGTCCCAGGAGGGATAGAGAGGGAAGGACACTACCTTCTCTTGCTCAGTGTTAAATTTATTGTTATGTTGGCCATTGCATGTTGAGACCCTACGCCAGGCCCTGGGTAGGCGCTGCAGATATGCCGGTGAATGAACCCGGAGGCATCCCTGCCCTGCAGGGCACACGGTCAGTGAGGAATTGCAAACAAGATGGTGACTCATCAGTGTACAAACAATCTGAGCAGCAGTACAGGGGCCTGGGAGACCACAGCAGGACTTCACCTGGACCAGGAATGGGAACAGGCCCACTGGAGGAAGTGATGTCTGTGATGGGCCCCAAGCATGAGTAGGAGTTAGCTGAGTAAACAGGGAGGGAGAGCATCCCAGGCAAAGGGAGGGACCTTTGGGGGGACTTAGCAGATGGTGGGTGAACAAGATGGTGGAGCATTTGAGGAACTGAAAGAGAGCTTTAGAGTTGCAGAGTGGTTGGGAGAAGGGAAGCCATGGGCACAGATGGAGTCCTGGGCACTGTGGTGGGCGGGGTGAACATCCTTACAGAAAAGGCGCTGTGTTACAGGAGAGGCTGGGGCAGGGCTGAAGGCCCCTTGGGTGTTGGAGTCAGGATTCCCCAGTTCCAAGCTGTTTAGGATCTGTCAGCACCCCACACACCCCACTGCCACCCCCCAACACCCCACTGGCATTTAGAATGTGACTTCGCTGAGGGGCAGGTGGGGAGCGGTCCTTCCTGCGGTCGTTCTTCCCTCCAATCCCTTGGTCCCAGAGGAATCCTCGGCCAGATAGTTCAGCCCAAACCTCTGGAAAACAAAAGTACTGAAGTGGCCTTCCTGACTGAGCCTACCTCTTCCCGGAGCGGCCTCTCCAGGCTCAGTCTGCCCTCCACACAGTGGGGATACTAATAATGTTCATCCCACCCAGGCATGGGGCCTGTGGGAGGGCTCTGCTGTGGCATCCCTGGGACCTGAGGAGGGGCCGGCTGGGTCAGGGGCAGCGGGGGTCATCTTCTCGGAGACCGCTCCTACACTGCCTCAGCCTGCATGAGCTCGCATGGCCTGCTGAGGCCTGCTGATGCCTCAGCCCCCGGGGTCCACCATGGTGGGCGGAGGGGTGTGACCCCCCCTCTGGAGGCCGCCTTCCCTGGATAGTGGGGCTCGGCTCAGGCTCGCTTCGGAGAGAACAGAGGCGGGGTCCGCCCCACGGAGAATGGGGTGTGGATCAGTGGCTCCTCCCCTCCGAAGCCGCCCTTTCCTAGAGCAGTGGGAGCAGAGGGGTGAGGAGGAGAACAGTGAGATTTGAAAGAAAGGAGAAAGCAGATCTGTCAGACCCCAGGCCCGTGTCCCAACTTTCCAGGTCCTCAAGTGTGACAGCGGCTGTCCCAGCCTACAACTCCCCCCTCTAGAGCAAAAAGCCTACTGAATTTGTCCTACACCTCATCCCTGGCACCCGCATCCCTCCCCATTGTGTCGGGGGGGGGGGACCCCTCTCCCCAGGGCTCTGCAGCAGGACACTGAGACAAGTGGGCGGTCTGTGGCTTTCAGGTGCCGGCCGGCAGGGGAGCCCTGCAAGGCTGGGTGTGCAGGGGTCACAATGGCGCAGGGAAATCAAAGGCCTGGGAGCCGGCGCCCCAACAAAGGGCCGGAGGAAGGAGGGATCCAGGCTTTGCTTCCCTTTGGGGGTTTGAAAGGAGCTGCCTTTGTTGGCTCCTAGCAGGGGATGGATGCCGGCGCTCAGCAAGAGGCCTGCGGAGGGAGGAAGGAATGAAGGCCCCCACCGGCCCCGCCCCTGCGGGCTGCGAGAAGGAGGCGCAGGACTCAGCCCCCTGTCCCTGTGGAAAATGCAGCCTGGCCACGTAGTGATTTCACAAGGTCCCCTCCGTACTCAGTCTCTTGGTGGGAGATTCCCTTCCTTGGGGGCCCCTGGCTCCCGGAGGTGGGCAGGGCAGGAGGCAAGTGTGGGTAGCAGCCTGCCAGCCAGGGCTCCCATGGGGCCCAGCAGGGGTGCGCCCTGCGGGGTGCAGCTGACGCACTGGTCTCGTCCCGGGGTTGGCTCTGAGGTCTGGCAGGAGCTAATGGGGAAGCACTGGCTGCCAGGGGACTTGACACAGCCGCGCAGCCCCTGTGGTCTCAGCTGTGCCCACACCCAGTCTTGGAAACCAAAACATGCAGGCAAAAGCGGAAGGAAGAGCTGTCGGCCTCCCCGTGTGAGTCACTGCAGGGGGAGAGGCCTAGGCTGCTCTGGAAGAGCAGGAGCTTGGAAACCACCGCGGCTGGGGCTCCGCTGTGCATCCTGGAGAAAGTTCTCAACCTCTCGGAGCTGCAGAGGGCTGAACGGAGGCCCTGCACTCTGTTGGGAGACAGCAGGAGGAGGAAGCTGCATTGATGCAGAGCTGGGCTGGGCAGTGATGCGGCCGCAGCCAGCAACAGCTTTGCTCCGCTCCGGGGGAATCACCCAGAGGGGAGGTTGTGTGTACCTTCCACTCTCCCTCTCCTGGTCCTGGGCCACATCCTGGTCCTCGTCTCCTGCCAGTGCCATGGCCCGGTTATCTGTCACTCTTCCCCCTGCACTGAGAGCTGGTTGAGGGCAGGGAACTCACAGCTGTTGGCTTGTGTGTGGGTTATGTCTGGCGCTCTGAAGCACAGTCTGTCTACAGTGGGCCCTCTTCATTCCTTCTTCATTCCTTCTCCCTTCCTTCTCTGGATTTCCAAGGCACTGTTTGGGCCCCGCCTGACCTTGGCCACCTGGCAGTGTGGGGGTCCTGAGCAGGACCTCTGCTGCTGACCCTGGGCTTGATCCCTGGTTTCCTCACTTACCATGCCTGACTTTAGGGTCAGTTAAGGACTCAACTTCAGCTTCCACTTCTGCAAAATCCTCAGAAGGGGATCGTGCTGGTGAAGCACCCATTTTTTGGAACAAACCTAGCACATACTGG